TTTATATTGGGCATTCATTATTGCCAGCCATTCCTCATGGAGTATAACACTCATGGCTGACATGGTTGTTTTAAATGATTGTTCGTGTCTGTGGAATTGCAATCAATTATAAGTAAAAAACGATTTAGAATTTATGCGAACTAAATAATTACTATCTTGATTTGAAGCTTTCGTGACTGCAGGAATCCATATTCTTTGGTTCTTTCGGTAAAGTCACGTAGGTAGAAAAAATAATAGATCACGACATTTCGATCGCCATCGTCTTGTGTGGCGATCCAAATGTCGTGATCTATTATTTTTTCTACCTACGTGGCTTTACTGAAAGAACCAAAGAGTATACATAATTACTGACATTGATTTGTGTCAAATGTACCTTTTTGAGTATTTAATTTGGAGCTATCGTTTGCAATTGGAACATTTTATGTCTGATTGTATTTAGTAACTTGGCGTTGAAGTTTGAAAATAAAACTGCCTGCATTGGTCGTTAAGCGTGGCTTTAATGTACAACGCTTATTATTTGTTGTGGCCCATTAGACCAACCGTACAACAAGCGGCAGAATACAAATGAGGAGTCCGATGATACATTCTCAGCATGACTTAACAGCAAGAGAAGATGTTTCTCAAAAATGTTGAGAAAAAGGCAAGTTCAAGACAGCCTCTCATCTCGTAGTGTCCGATAAACCATTGAACACAAATTACAGAGTTGCAAAGTTGAACTCAAATCAGTAAAACAGAAGTCGCGTACAATGGGTTGGCTGAACAAAATGTAATATTTTTCGATTTAAAGCTTTCGTGACTGCAGGGATTCATCTTCTTGGTTCTTTCGGTAAAGTCAGGTAGAATGAAAATAATAAAAATAAAACATAATAAAATAATTCTCACGATGTTTCGGCCACAACGCAAGCAGCCGTCCTTAGGTGAAGAACAGGTCTGTCGAGAAGACAGTCTGAATGACACTCCGGGTTTGGAGCGACTTTAAGCTGGGATGGAGGGGGGGAAGGGCGCCTTGACAAAAGAATTTGCATATCAAGAGGAATTTAGCATATTTGTGGTAAATGCAGATATGCGATTAGTACTACTTGTGAAATGCGTAGGAGGTTTGGCGGGGGGTTTAAAGTCATTATGCCCGTGCATTATGCAGGATTAACAGCATCAAAGGGAGGGGATAGGGGTTACATTAATAAAGGGAAGGAATGTTAATAGTATGTAGCTGTAGTAATTAAACCACCACGTAAACAACTAAAATATAAACTACATAGTATCATCAGTATACTAAATATACTTTCCAATAAGCTGAGCTACTAGCAGTAAGTAATACATTACAATTCTATGTCGCAAAAAATATAATATGCTTCCAGCTAAACTTTATTCTCTTACATCACACGAGTCTACCCCGTACTATATACTGCCATATACAAACCCAACATTAAATTATATACTGCCTATAGGAAATGGACGAAGGGGCGTGGGGACGTCCCAGTGTCGCGTGGCAGGGGAAGACGCAGACTTGCATCGTGAGTGAGCGAGCAGGTGACGTGAGCTGCAGTGTGGTCGGTGAACCGTTTGGGATGAGACGAAAGTCTGGAACACCGAGTCCTCGATACAGGAGGAATCAAAGAGTGAAACTCATGGAAACGCTATCGTAAGAGCGATAAAGGAGTGATAACTCAACCATGTTTTATTTTACTAGGTAATATGTATTGTATGTGCCAATAACGCCCGCAATAAAGTAGACATCGGTGCACATTACAACGGAACGTGAACGGTACGGGGCACGGAGCAACAAGAACACATGTATGCAAAGTAAATGGTTGTGGGAGTTGCGTGGAGGCAAGTGTGAGTCGGCGCGTGAATTGAGAGACGCGGGGCGAGTTTCTGATGTCGGGTGGCAGGAGGCGACCGTGGGTCCCAGATGCTCGGGGCTCGTACCCCCCACAGGGCGATGATGTTACAGCAGCAGCTCGTTTGCAGAAGCGACGTGACCACAAATGACAGCTCGACGAAGCGGCTTATGTGGAAATAAATAGAAGCCTCATACTTTAAACGCACGTTCATTCTAAATGTGGTGGGAGACCCGGAGAAAGTTCAACTCGGCCATGGGGAGAACATGCCAACTCAAAGCATGCCAACTCAGAGCATGCCAACTCAGAGCATGCCAACTCAGAGCATGCAGGCGTCAGGGTCGAGCCCACAGCCTCCTCCTGCACACCACGCGAGGTGGTGGACATCTCGCTGCCGCCGCCGTGGTGGCGACAAGTTGACGTGGCCGTCAGTGAGCGAGTGAGTGGCCATCAAGCGCCTTGGAGACCCCCCCCCCCCCCCCCCGGGCTCTTCTGGAGTTTCTATTAAACAAAAGTCCACCACAAGAAGCGGAGGGCGAGTCTGCGTTACTTTGTACAACAGCAAGGGCGGGGATCTTGTAGACTTCGTTCAACAAAGAGGGAGAGGGGTGATCATTTCGGACCCAGGTAGGCCACCCGATAGGCCCATGCTGTCTGTCACCATTTGTCTCACGAGGGTTTGCCCAACGCGGCACATTCTAGGAAGTAGCCCCCCACCTTGGACACGACTGCTTGTACTGTACGATACTGTAGTGACGCTAAAGTACAGTGTAGTGCTGTAGTGGTACTGGGGTAAAGTCTGATACTGTAATCTCACGAGGGTGCCGGCTACAGTGCAGGAGTAACGAGGGTGCCCAGTCGTCGTCTATCACTGTCGTGGCATTGTTGAAGACCAAATATCCCAAAGTTTGAGCTTTCAGGAAGCTCATGGCCCACCCCAAACCACGGCAGATGCTGATAGCTGCTGCAGGCCGTGGGGAATGTAGTCTCCAGCAGCAGCAGTCAGCAGTGTGCGCCTGTGGTCATCCCGACCAGACACAGCGGAGAACCACGACCTGATGATGCCCCATCCACAAACACGAAGGGCGCATCATCACAGCGACACACCCGCTGCTCCTGACGCGCTTATCTGGCGTGAGCACCTGAATGCGAAGTTGTGGTTGTTGATCTGCATCTACGAAGTTGTTGATCTGCATCTACGAAGTTGTTGATCTGCATCTACGAGGTCGTGGTTGTTGTTCTGCATCAGCTGCGACACGAGCTGACGAGTGACACCGGGGACAGTCCACGAGGCGCCGCCCCGCCGCGCTCGGCGCTCGACTGCGTCGCCTGGGGCCGCGCCCAGGACGCGCGGCCGAGTGCGGAGCGCGCGGATCAGTCGCGGAGGAGTCGCGCTCGGAGGTAACTTGGGGCGGCAGCGGCGCTCTCCCCTCGCCCCGCCTCGCCCTCCCCGGCAGTGCGCTCGGCTGCCCGGCCGCGTCTCCTCTCGGGACGCCGCCACTCGCTTCACCGCCTCGGCCGCGCCGCTGCTCACGCGCAGCGGCGCCACCCCAGGGCTCGGACCGGGACCCCCCCCCCCCCCCCCCGGTCGGATTGTTGAGGCCCCGGGCGCGGAGCCTCCTGGCCGCGAAGGCGCTGGGCAAATCGCAGGCTTCTACTCGGGTAAGGCCGCACAGGCCGCGACGGCAAAAGTCGCGGGAGAGTGGCTCGAGGGGGAGCTCGAGAGGGGGGGGGGCTCGAGAGGGGGGGGGGGGCTCGATAGAGGGGGGGGCTCGAGAGGGGGGGGGCTCGAGAGGGGGGGGGGGGCTCGATAGAGGGGGGGGCTCGAGAGGGGGGGGGCTCGAGAGGGGGCCGAGGGGTCGCATCGGGGACCATCACTCGCTGCGAGAATTGGCGGCGCCGCGAAGCCGCCGAGGAGGAGGAGGAGGGGGGCTCGCGAGGGGGGGGGCTCGAGAGGAGGGGGGGGGGCTCGCGCTGGGTGCGGGCAGGGCGAGATCGCGAGCGAGTGTGGGCCGAGAATACAGGCGGGGAGGACGGGGTGAGACTGCGGGTAAGTGGTGTCTAAGGGTGGCCGTGAATGAGTGTGATGATCACGGTTTGCGGTAGTGATTGTGAGTGATTGTGAGTGAATGTACTGATGATGGTGAGTGTGATGAAGGTGAGGGTGATTAGTGTGAGGCTCACTGAGAGTGTGACATGGGTTGTGCTTCGACTCGACGCCTATAGACGTGGAACAGACCGGAGGCGGATGCCCATTGCAGGGGGAATTCTCGTGCTACGAACACTTTGGCGACCTAAACAGACGAGTGGCGCCGCTTGGCTACCCGCGCCACCCGTTCAAATGCCTCCATGTTCATGTCGCGCTGGCCCATTGCACCTCCGAGTCGGTGAAGTAACGACACGGGAGTGCGACTCTGGCGTCCTCGCGGGAGTTCATTGGGCCGGACACATCGCCGCCTCGTAACCAACCCACGCGGGTTAACAATTCGCGTTTGTTTCGCCTCGTGACAGGTGCCTCGGAGGTGTAGAGGAAGCGGCTCTCAGGAGGAAGGTTGCGAGTTTCAATCCTGGGTTGAGGTTTATCAGCTCATCATCCTGACGATGTCGATACAGGTTCCACTTTGCGGGGAAGTCAACCGGTGGCCTATGGATAGAATGCAGAACTTCCACCTCTGGCTCCGGTGTGTAAACAGAACATGAGCATCACCTCGAGACTCATTTGAGTAGGAAATCACGTTGACTCGACTGCTTGGAAAAATAAACGTTGTGGCCTCGGCCATGAAGATTTCCCACCTACATCACACAAATTGTGTGTGATGTATGTTTATGTCGCCTGTAGGTTCCTAAGACGCACGAATTGTGTGATGTCGGTTCCTAAGACGCACGAATTGTGTGATGTCGGTGCTCGGCCCTATCTGTGAGACTGCGAGGCGGGCGATGTCGCTCTGTGGTGTCGCCATGCCGCGCGTTTCGTGTGCAAGCGCAGCGCGTTCCAACTTCGCATTCTTTGTGTGAAGTGGCGGCGCTGTTGGGATGTTCTATTGTTTAAAGGGCCCGTGAGGCAGTGAGGAGTTGAGCTTGTTTGCTCGCGGCTCGCGGTGGCGAATGTTGACCGCTCACACGGGCGTGGAGGTGCCGCTCCTCTGCCGTGTTTGAGTGGGGGGGGGGGGCTGCACAGCTGCGCTCACAGCCTGTGTAAGCACACAGACTGCGTGCTCACAGCCTGTGTGAGCACGCAGACTCTGCGTGCTCACAGCCTGTGTGAGCACACAGACTCTGCGTGCTCACAGCCTGTGTGAGCACGCAGACTCTGCGTGCTCACAGCCTGTGTAAGCACACAGAGTCTGCGTGCTCACAGCCTGTGTAAGCACAGACTGCGTGCTCACAGCCTGTGTGAGCACGCAGACGTGCTCACAGCCTGTGTGAGCACGCAGACTCTGCGTGCTCACAGCCTGTGTAAGCACGCAGACTCTGCGTGCTCACAGCCTGTGTGAGCACGCAGAGTCTGCGTGCTCACACAGCCTGTGTGAGCACACAGACTGCGTGAGCACACACTGCGTGCTCACACAGCCTGTGTAAGCACACAGACTGCGTGCTCACAGCCTGTGTAAGCACAGACTGCGTGCTCACAGCCTGTGTAAGCACACAGACTGCGTGCTCACAGCCTGTGTAAGCACACAGTCTGCGTGCTCACAGCCTGTGTAAGCACGCAGACTCTGCGCTCACACTCGCAATCTGTGCTCACGCAACACCCAGCCCTTGGGGCGGTTAGGAGGGTCAAACTCTGTGTGACCGTCCACGTGTGACCCCACGTGGACGGTCGCTGGGCACGAGTGACCCTGTCGTCTCAGACGGCGGTGTGCGCCGTGACAAGACGAGGTGGTCTTGCGGTGTCTTCTTGCCGTCGCGACCCTCCCTGGCCGCTGTCGTTTGGCATGCACGGGCCTGCGTGTGCGCCTCACTAATGCACATTAAAGTGTTTACACGCTGCCGCCGCCGCCGCATGCTGATGACATACTTAGCGGATGACATAACGCCGGCAGGAGCGTGCGTGGAATGGCAATGCCCACGCCGCGTTCCTAAGACGCAGGAGCTCATCCAACAGCGCACGAATCGCGCTCAGTCAAAGCGCAAATAATGGACGAGTCAAAGTGCAAATAATGGACGAGGCAAAGTGCAAATAATGGACGGTAGTGCCCAGGTCAGCAGCGGGGAGGCCACGGCACAGCACTCGTATGGGTGGCCTCGCTGAGTGAGGCCGTGTTCGGCCACAGCCGAGGGCACTTGGGCGTTGAAGGATGATTACTGGTAAAGAAGGATGGTACCCCGTGAAGGGTTGCGAGGTGTTGTTTCTTTACGACCTGCCTGGCGCGTGCTGGCCACAATCAACAGACAAAGCAAATGTCGCACCGGCCAGTGGTCCCTGTGTGTTGACGAGTGCACAATGCGTTGAGGCGGTGTGCGGCACGCGTAGCCCGCACGAACGTGCCTGCGTCAGTCCCGTGCACGACTAAATGTGTCGTGGTCATCGGGGAGTGGCGTGGTCGGCGATGAGTCGTGTTTGGTTAAGTCAAAGTGATCGACCTCTTGCCCAAATTAACCTCAAGGCGGTGCTCGTTTGGGCACCAAATCAACGAGCATATTTGCGCACGTGACAACCTGATTTTATGTGGCTCTGCCGTGTAGTGGGGGCTACAATAACAAGTTGGCATTTTACTTACACGACCTAACCCAAAATAAACCAATTATGCTCATCTCCTTTACAAAGATTGATTCTGATTTTGATATGCCTATAGCGTGGACAAGTCTCTCCACAGACAACCTTTGTTGACTTGTCCACGAAGTGGTATTTATTTTATTGACCCTGGAGGGATAATGGGCTGACTCAATCCCCAACCATGATCTGAACTCAGATCACCGATTGACAGCAGTAGACTCCCCTGCTGAGCCACCTCACCGGTTGATGAGTAGTGTGGTGGTGGATGAGTAGTGTGGTGGTGGATGAGTGGTCTGTATAGCTCTGTGAAGTCCTGTTCAAGCAGAGAGACCATCTTGTTGAATGTGAGTGGAGTAGCTGTTTTTAGGGCCTTGTCATTTAATAGCGCAGCGATGCGTGTGAGTTGATGTAAAACATTATTGTGGGTAAACTGTATTGGATCACTTGGCGCTGTGTAGTCTGCCGTCTGCTGTAACCAGTTGTCTGTGTCGCCTGCTGTCTGTGTGTATAACTTGCTGTCTGTGTGTATAACTTGCCATCTGTGTGGTCTGCCCTCTGTAATCTTGTCTGTGTAGCCTGATGTCTGGTTACTCTAGTGTCTGTATGGCCTGCTGTGTGGTTAGCCTGCTGTTAGTCTGGTTGGTCTGATGTCTGGTTAGCCTGCTGTCTGGTTGGCCTGCTGTGTGGTTAGCCTGCTGTCTGGTTGGTCTGCTGTTAGTCTGGTTAGCCTGCTGTGTGGTTAGCCTGCTGTTTGTCTGGTTGGTCTGATTAGCCTGCTGTTAGTCTGGTTGGTCTGCTGTGTGGTTAGCTTGCTCTTAGTCTGGTTGGTCTGCTGTCTGGTTGGTCTGCTGTTAGTCTGGTTAGCCTGCTGTTTGTCTGGTTGGTCTGATGTCTGGTTCGCCTGCTGCTTGTCTGGTTCATTTTCTGTGTGGCTGTGGAGTCTGCTGTTTTTCTGGATGAACTTTTGTATTTCTCGTTATTCTGCTGTGCGGCTGTACATTCTGCTGTTTGATTAGCCTGCTGTTTAGTTTGTATGCTGTATGGCTGTATAGCCTGTTTATATAGCCTGCTGTCTGTTATCTGGTTATTATGTTTTGTGACTGGCACGTTTGGATAGGATCCGCGACTGTAGGGCACAAAGTAAGTTGGCGCGCGCTGGTACAGTGTGAGTGTGTACATAGAATGTTAACGCGGGCCGCGCTGCTGCTTGACATGCGTGTCACATGGTGGGATATGCCGAATGGTGATGACTCATTTAGGCCGTCTGGGTCCCGTCTCAATCCCGCCCATTGTCTGCGTGCATAGACGCACGGCAACACGGAATCTCACACTGCTGCTGGTGACGGCAGCGCCTTCATACCCAACTTTGCCTGCGTCCTCCGTGCAGTGAGTGATTTTCTCTGTGATGTTCCCCGGTGACGAGCTGTGTTCCTCGGAGGCTGCTGAACACAAGTAGTTTTCTCCGCGTGCGTGTGTGGACTGGCCAGATAAGTGTACATTACAGCTGTGATCACGTTGGTGCATTTTATATCGTTTATCTCCATTGCTCAGACCAACTGTTTCGCTAACATCATTACCTATTGGCTTGGGATGAAGTTGAAACCAAAGTACAAAGGGCTGCTTTTGCATGCTGAGACATTGCTCTGTCTGCTTGGCACTTGCAGGTTTGCGTGTCAGCATCTTGCAATGGAGACGATGGTGGCTTGTGGTGGTGATTGACTGTTTGCTAATGAGCCCCGCAGTGGGTGGCTGTAGTCTTGTGTTAATTTTACTACCTTGCATGGAGGCTCATCTCGTGTATTGTACTGAGGACACGATGTGCTCAATGGCAACACGATACCCACTGTTTGTCAAAGGATGCGCAGCTTTGAGATGTGCAACATTTGTTTCTAGCAACCAAACATACATAATCACAGGAGGAAACTTTAACATGTATCCTCAGTCCACTCGATAGTTCTAGAAGAGAACGTTGCAGAAACTGAATAATTCTCCAAAGTGGCGCTGTATGGAAACCTGTGGCACGGCGTTGGACTACAACAATGTGCGTAGAACCTGTGATGTCAAGCAGCAGCAGCTGGAATGGACAGCACGAGGCACCGCATGTGGCAGTGTGTTCACGTCGTGTGTGCTTGCTGTCCCGCGCCTGTGGCAGGTCTGGCGGGCGGTCCTCTCCCCTGCCTCCGCGAGCCGTTCAGTGCGCGACTGCCGTGGCCGTGCGATGTTGGGAAGGAGCCGTCACGGCTCGGGAGGCGCCTAGGGGAGTTTCTGCGAGGCCACGTTCGCTCGCTTCCCACCGGCGCTTTTGAAACGGTGTCGTGTGGTGCGCGAGGGCGGCGGTGCCGTGGCGTAGTGAAGCCGCCATGGCGTCCAGCGTGCAACTGGAGGTGCCGGATTTTGGCAGCGCCGTCTTGTGCAGCCTCAACGAGCAGCGCATGCAGGGCCTCTACTGCGACGTGACGGTGCGTGCCCGCGGACAGGATTTCCGCGCGCACCGCGCCGTGCTAGCCGCCAGCAGCGCCTACTTCCGCGACATATTCGCTAGCACAGGTACTGGGCGCACACACGACCTGGGTTCGATTCCCGACTGGGGCACCTTTCTGTGCTGAGTTTGTATGTCCACCCTCTGTTCTGCATGGGCTTCCTTTGGGTTCTCTGGTTTTCTCCCATCGTGAAAACAAACCCACATACAATGTAACTGGTATTGGCCAAACATCACCAATGCTCATCTGCAAATTACACACAGCAGCAAAATCGCTTTCTCCTGCGATAATTTGGCATCACTATCCTGAAAAAGATGATTGACAATTAATG